AAACGTAAAGCAATCGCATCAACTAGACTCAGAATCACAACAAATGTATTCTATTAACAAGTGAGATATATTTTTTACAAATATTGTTAATATTTTTTGAATTATTTTGTTATTTTAAAATATAATAACGGTTAAATATTCAAAATATATAGGACGTTCAGAGATTGGGCCGCCTGTGGCTACATAGGACATAAATAACTACAAGGCTAGCCACTTATCTGATATACCCTCCGACATCGAGTCCAATATCTCACCTCAGAATCGTTGCAGAGCAATAAATTTCACATCGCCTAATAGCACGAACGTTCCTCTTTCGAAAGAACTTGGTTTGTTCACCATTGCGGCAATTCTCGTGACACAAGACGAACTTTGTTTGTCCAAATTCCAAATTTCCATTTTCGAAAGAGGCGCTAACCCCATGATCGTTGCCACGAGAACTGCTCAGCAACCTGGCCTCCTCGTTTGAAAACAATCCACCAGGGGGGGAGGATCTGCACTGGAATTAGGGGCTTTCAGAGCAACACGATAAAAAAACACGATATAAATAGAAAGCCATACGGTTGAAGTGTTGAACGAAGTCAAGTGCGATACTTTAAAAAGATTGGTATGATTGTCAAAAGCTGAATGTTATAATAAGTAAATAATGTTTCATTAAATCATGGGGTTAGCGCCTCTTTCGAAAATGGAAATTTGGAATTTGGACAAACAAAGTTCCTCTTGTGTCACGAGAATTGCTGCAATGGTGAACAAACCAAGTTCTTTCTAAAGAGGAACGTTCATACTATTAGGCGATGTGAAATTTATTGCTCTGCAACGATTCTGAGGCGAGATATTGGACTCGATGTCGGAGGGTATATCAGATAAGTGGCTAGCCTTGTAGTTATTTATGTCCTATGTAGCCAGTGCCAGTACTGACGACCGTTCAAGTACGACGAAAACGTAAAGCAATCGCATCAACTAAACTCAGAAACACAACAAATGCATTCTATTAACAAGTTAGTCGTTTATAGATATATTTTTTTACATATACTGCTAATATTTTTTGAATTATTTCGTTATTAAATATTATAACGGTTAAATATTCCGTATAAATATTCAAAATATATAGACCATTCGGAGATTGGGCCGCTTGTGGTGAAACTCATTAATAATTCATGAAGAAAACACTTACAGATTCGCACACCGTAGAACAAAATCCAACTTTTCTGACCATCGGCTTCCAACCAAGTAGCCAAGAAAAAACAGCGTTTGTCATCAAATTGTGTGGAAACGGTTTAAATATTGAAAGATTACAATATGGCTTTGCCAGTACAATATTCTAGCTTTTCAGTTCCCGACGATACTACTGCGCACGTTTCATAACTACTTTAGCTATTGAATTTGAGCTTGATACCATTCCACTTTTGTGACTAATTTAGGAATATCAGAACATTGTAGCGTGAAAAAATGGATAATTTTGGCACATATCTATTTTTCTAATCCTTGACTTGAAATCACAATTTTATTCACACAAACACAAAATTAAACATGGAAGTTCAAAAACATAACTTGTGTTAAGACTTTCTTTACATACTGTACTGTATGGCGACAAAGAACAGGACATACTATCTTTTACAGGGTGATTGTCACACCCAACAGGTGGGAAATTTGTCGTCGCTGACCAAAAAATCGCGGGCAGAAACAAAGCTCATTGCATTTGTATTCAAAACAAAGCAAAAAGTTAGCAAGAAGCTGTTTTAGCTGACGATTTTTGCTTTCCATTCAACGCTTTACGAATTAACGGTTATTCTTTTAAAAATCGATCATGAATTCCTTGTTTTCGGATGATATTTTTTGTAATCGAGTGATTGGAAGAAGTGAATATGGCGACGTGAACATGGGAGTAAATACCGTATACGTCGAGCTGTGGCTTGTTTAGAACCGTAATAAACGAAGAAAGACGTGATATGAGAATGAAATGTAAGTTGAAATTAACTTTATATGCCTCAAATTTTCCATCCTATTTTTGTTAATGTAACTTCAGCTGTCTAAGTTCAAAATACAAGCTCGCAAAATTTGACAAATTTTGAAGATATGTATAAAAATAGTTTGACTTTGAACTGTATTTTCTCAAAAATAGCCCGTGGCCACAATTTCAAATATAGCTAAATGAAAAGAAAAAACTTTTCGGCGTTTGTAGGTATCAAACATATCGTCAGGAAAATAGGGGCTCACAATGTTTTAGCTGAGTCTTTGAGACCCAGTTGCTTCGCACGTGTTGTGGTCAAATTTTTGCCAAGAATCAAAGGCCGAAATGTGAACTTCCTTCATGAAAACCGTTCGAGAAGGGTCTAGTTTGAAAATTTAGCTATTAATTTCGATTTCATGAGCATATTTTGGTTACACGTTAAATATTTTTGAATTTGAAGAGATTCAAAATTTGTTGTATATTCAAGCCGGCTTTAGTGTAATTTTGGTGATGACCGGAACAGAAATAAGATATTTTAAAAACTGGCCGTGGCCTCACGATAAAACTTTCTAAAAATGTTCTCTGTTTCATGTATTTTTATTTGATATCTTAGGTATAAGCGTAAAAATAGGGGCTCATACAGTTTACGAGGTTGTAAAATGCATGACTTGCCTCTATTTTCATGTAAACATTCGAAATTTTTCGACAGCAAAGTAGCAACTGTTTCAGATCGAATGCACACGACAGCCCACCGGAGACAATGGCAGGGTACTGAAATAGAACGTCACTAAAAAATTGTGTATGATTAATTTAGATCATGTCCATTTTCAACATAAAACAGTCATTTATTTTGTACAAACATTTGGCAATGTTTACACGATTGTGCATTTTTGTAAACACGCGTTGCGTGCATTCCACGCAGTTACGTGGCTCATTTTGTTCGCGCATGCTCAGACAAATTTCCCACCTGTTGTCACTCCCTGCTTCGTTTCGTAGTATTAATTGCGAGGATTGCTTTCCATATTTATGGGCAATAACAAGCCCTCGTCTTGAGAATTAGAAGTAAGCCAAAATCGCAAACTTCAAACCAAACCAAAGCTTTGCTTTACTTATACTTGATTAAGACATGATGTAGACGATTGTTTTCTACAAAAAAACTCTGTGATAATCGTTCTAATAACTATTCGAAGTTTCTCACCTCGCATTGAGGTAATATATATATATATATATATATATATATATATATATATATATATATATATATATATATATATATATATATATATATATATATATATATACTATATATATATATATATATATATATATATATATATATATATATATATATATATATATATATATATATATATATATATATATAGATATATATATATATATATATATATATATAGATATATATATAGATATATATATATATATATATAGAAAGACACAAAAACTTAGCAAGCTTTGTTTGGCATATTTATTACCATACAGTTTCGTACCACGTAAATAACGTGGCACTCTTCAGATAAAATAGCCTATGTTTGACCTATAGCTTCTTAACGAACTTTTTAAATATGTACAGATATGGTATAAAGGACGCTTATCTAATTACAAATCAATTAACACCTCAAGTAGTGTCACGAAAATATTAGTATCAAGTTATAAAGTTTTTAAGTAGAAATTTATTAGCGTGTCTACACGTGGAGACAAGTTCGCTGCGACGATTAAGTGTTTCAATGTCCGGTTTACAAATAATGAAATACTTCTCCCAGATACACAAGTTACATCTCTTGGATGCATTACTGTAAGATTTAGCGTGTTTTAAAATTTTCCATCTGATAGAGTAACTAATATTATTGTTCTTAAGATTCCAGATGTATTTACTTAATTCAGTAGAATTACGCTTCTCATAGTTATTAAATGAAGCTTTGTGATTGGTGTATCGAGTTTTGAATTCATTTTCTGTTAGTCCAACATATGTTTGAGTGGGCCGCTTGTCAGATGTTTTTACTGTGGCTTGGTAGATAACAGATTTTGCTAGACAATTTTTTGACATAGGGCATTCACTTGGTTTTTGGCAATTGCATTTTTTTTTCTCGGTGGTTTTAGCTCGGTGGGATAGCTTGGATTTATTATGTCCGTCGATGTTTTGTTTAAAATTACTCATGCAGCTGTAGCTAATTTTGACGGTATTTCTGTTGAATATCTTGTGTAAGATATGGCCTGCGGGAAATTCCTCGTCTAGAATCTTTAAAAAGGTCTGACCAATATTAGTAGCGACATTTTTGCTGAACGGTGGGTTTTACCAGGTTATATTTCGTTTCCGACTCCTTGAGTTGATGGTATTTTGGGATGTCGGAGGTTGTTGGTATTTCAATTTGTGTCGATAACCGCTCTTTGTTAGGGCTTCTTGATATAATGGCACTGCACGCTGAAACGAGTCTTCATCAGATGAAATTTCAGAAAGGCGCTTGTTGATCGCTGCTGGTATGTTGTCTAGTATTTTGGGTGGATGGTTTGATTTGTTGTGGACGTAAAGTGGAATATTGTTGGGTTTAGTGAACGGCTGATACTTTTGGGTAGACAGATTCAGGGTGACGTCTAAAAAACTACTATTTTCTTGTTGGCTTCGATGGTAATTTTTAAGCCATGATTGTTGAAGATGGAACAGATATCTTTTTTGATAATTTCAATTATACGGGGGGTTGCTTTTATAACACCAAGCCCGTCATCTCGATAGAGGCCGAAATTCTCACCGTGTTTTTGGGTGATCTTGTGTAACAGAAAAGATCCGACCAGCTCGCACGATTTTGCCCCGTCATAACTACCCATAGTTACGTCAAACATAGTTACGTCAAACATATATAGATATATATCTATATATATATATCTATATATATATATCTAACGCGTTCCAAACTAAATTGGGATTTTCCAAAGTACGAAATTTCGCGTATTTGTTTTAAATTATGCGGAATTTTTCTTTTTTTCCGCAAAATCTTGATGCTTTCCCAAAATATGTGCAAAAATAAAAAAAGCTTGCGCAAAAATTGACGTAAAAATCAAGCCGTGCGGAATTTCTTTCAATACTACATTCGCAAAAACTGGTTAAAAATATTATAAGCGAAAAAATTCGCATTTGTTAGCGCATATTCCATATTTTAAAGTAAATTGTGCGTCCGATTACAAATATCCGCAGAAAACAGGAAATTAACCAGAAAATGTTGACTCCACAGCGCAAATATCGGTTTGGTTGTCGGATTATACGGAATCTTTGTATTCTACTATTTCTTCCGCAAAAACGTGATAAAAAACAAGGTTTAAGTATAAGATTCTCTAAATTAATAAAAGACAACAGAATATTGATCATTGGAAGCTATATAAAAGGGTTCAGAATTTCTGAACCCTGAAAATCTGAAATCAATGAACATAAGCGGAATATTTACGGTGAAGAAAGCTAAAAGGGGTTCAGAATTTCTGAGCCCTGAAAATCTGAAATCAATGAACATAAGCGGAATATTTACGGCGAAGAAAGCTAAAAGGGGTTCAGAATTTCTGAACCCTGAAAATCTGAAATCAATTAATATAACTGAGCGGTATATTTAATTACGGCTAAGAAAACTAAAAGGGGTTCAGAAATTCTGAACCCCTTTTAGTTTTCTTAGCCGTAATTAAATAAAAAAAATCTGAAATCAATGAACATAAGCGGAATATTTACGGTGCAGAAAGCTAAAAGGGGTTCAGAAATTCTGAGCCCTGAAAATCTGAAATTAATGGATATAAGCGGAATATTTACGATGAAGAAAGTTAGAAGGGGTTCAGAATTTCTGAACCCCGAAAATCTAAAATCAATTAATATAACTATAAGCGGAATATTTAATTACGTACGGCTAAGAAAACTAAAAGGGGTTCAGAATTTCTGAACCCTGAAAATCTGAAATCAATGAACATAAGCGGAATTTTTACGGTGCATGAGAAAGCTAAAAGTGGTTCAGAAATTCTGAACCCTGAAAATCTGAAATTAATGGATATAAGCGGAATATTTACGATGAAGAAAACTAGAAGGGGTTCAGAATTTCTGAACCCCGAAAATCTAAAATCAATGAACATAAGCGGAATATTTACGGCTAAGAAAACTAAAAGGGGTTCAGAATTTCTGAACCCTGAAAATCTGAAACAATGACTGTCACAATGAACTATAAGCGGAATATTTATATAAGCGGAAACTCTGAAATAAATGGCAATGTCAATGAACATAACTCATAAGCGGGATGTTTACGGCGAAGAATTAAACACGTTCCAGCGGTTCTACAATAGAGTTGCATATTCTATTTTGATAAAATGTTATACGAGATTTGAGGAAGAATTTGCAATGAATGTTGAAAATTTTGGAAAAAGCTTGCCAAAAATTGTGTTACGATATTTTCAAATATTCGATTCCTAGCTTATACAAGAAATTTTAAACCAACCATTTAGATCGACAAAGCCGTCAAAGGGCTATTTCTACTGCATTCCATGCAAAAAGTATGACTGACTTTTTTTAAGAATATATGATTATAATTTTCAATAATAATGGCCAGAAATTTAGGCCACTATTTGTTGCTTATTAGTTTCTCATCCGGGGCTTCACCTAAAGTTGATGCGGGCGGGCGAACCATTACCATTATGCCATTATTTATAGCATTGCAAAACAGCACAAAATTAGCGAATGCAACTGAAACCATGTTTTTATATTAAAAACATGACCACTCCACATGACCACATGTGAAATAATCACAGAAAAGAGAAATAATTTTGTAGCCAAGTCGTCTCGCGTTTTTTCCCCTGCCCCTGGCTTCCTGTAGAACGTTTAGGTAAACGCGAGAGAAACTGGCAGTTTTGGTATAAAATTTCGTATCTTAACTGAAACTTTTGGTTTGGGAACGTTTCTAATTGTCTTTCTTTCAAATATAATTTTGAAGACATCACAAAATTTATAATAATGGTCAAAAATGGCAATAATGGTAATAATGGCAAACAAGACCATTTTCTTAAAAAGCATGCGGGCGGGGATGAGAAACTAATATACAACAAATAGTGGCCTTAATGGTAATGTCATGCACAATATAATTCGCGCATTTTATGTGAAATTAGCAAACTTTTATAAAACTCTGGATACATTTGTAGACTAGCATTCTAAAGATCGACGTTCATGATTGGTAAATTATCCAATCTTTTGTGGGAAAATACATTACTATAATATTAATAAAGGCGAAATAGGAGTTTGGTTCATAATCATAAACTTTATATCACGAGGTATATTACTTACTTATCGTCAAGTTTCATAGATAGCAGAGCTATTAATTATATAGGTTGTTCGTGTAGGATGGTCGATAGGCTATGCCAGTATTGCTATAGTGTCGGGGTGCTATCTTTTAAATTTTTGGTCAGCAGGGATGAAACGTTCTGAACTTGGGCCTTGCCCTTGGCCCTATAAATGCGGTTTATAAATGCGGTTTATAAATGTATGATCAGACACTAGCTGGAATATAATATTACAGTCTGAGTTTATTACATGTATGTATCTACGTAGTCAATTCTTTACCTTGGGGCGATGAATGATGGTGGGTCAATAATAAACTCAATGGTTTAATTTATAAGGTTAAAAGCAAGACACGGTTTGATCATTTATCAATTTCCTATAACTGAGATAATAGTGAAAAAATTTAAATATATTTTATTAATTAACGAGTTATTCAATTTGCACTGATTTGCAGATCGCATTCGAAGTTTCGAACGCACAAACATCAGTTCCTAGGCTAGCCTATAGTATCAAATATCGTCATAACTCTGCGCAAGTAGACACAGTATTACATACGCACAGCGATGTTTTGCTAATTTTAGAAGTGGGGGGACGCTCTTGAAAATCAAATGGGCGTGGTCGCTCGATTAGGCGTGGCCATTGGCCATGGAATTAAACAAGCAGGGGTTTAGTGAGTCTAGTGACTTTAGTCTAATAGACATGCTTGTCAAAATATGTCACATTTTATATTCTAGTTAAACAAATAATATATTTGATAGTTATATATTATATTCTGCTCATGAACACAGGTGACAAACTGATTTGTCTAAATGTATGAGCTTTAAAGTAATTTCAAGACGGCTTGCTTCGCAGTTGTCCCTTCGTTATCTTCCAACTTGCGTTTCTTTACTCTTTGATCATCTGCTGAATGATGGTTTCGCAGCCAGTTTCAACTTCTGAAATTGAGTCTTCCACAAATTTTTCAGTAAAGAATTCAACGATCTCAGATATCATATGATCAACAACCTACTTTTACAATTTCTGGCTTAGGCTTGATTTTTATACCGTTGCGCGATCCCAAATTATGGATATTTTCAGAAGCTGATTACATCATAATTAGTATAGTCTTTCACGCAATCGCGAAATTAAACATTAAAATTATCAATGGGAACATAAAATGATTCAATAAGAACATTGACATGCATGAATGGGAAAGATTCAAGGATATCTATTATCCGAGCTTATTTAGTTACTCGTGAAAACGTCATATTTGACTTGCAAATTTGCCTGTTTGCCGAGTTGGTTGACTCACATAGCACTAGATTGCATAATCGAAATTCGAAAGTTAGCGTGTTTTATTTGCTTTTTGACAGCTACCGCGGGCAAGCAAGGTGTTTTTCAGGTATCATGTTCTGCTAACTCCATGCATAAGGTAATTCAAATGATATCCTGCTGGGCTGCTGCCTGACGTTACTCGTGCTGATGACAATAAGTACTATCTAAGCGGACGTCAATTATCAGACTCTAGACTAGTATTTTGTGTTAGTCTGCTAGAATTTTCGGCAAATAACACGTATGTAGAACAAGTGACAGCATTATTTGGACGGTGTCGAACGGCGTTCACTGAACTTCGCTAATATTTAATCCCTGCCAGGGGGAACGGCGTTCCCCCATGTTTGATTTTGGCAGGGGGGGGAGCCGTTCCCCTGGTAAAAAAGGTGGGGGGACGCGTTCCCCCGCGTTCCCCCTGGAAAACACCACTGCATACGCAGCCTGTAAATAATTGCATCATGTAGCCAATTCACTTAATATATCCAAGTAGTGCCAACAATAACAGGCTTTCGTTCGACGTAGGGATGCCATTACCTGAAAATATGAAGAGAATTTCGACGTTTCGAGCGGCCTTCGCTCAATACGTCGACCTTCTCCTTTAGCTTTATATATTTTCGGATAGTTGCATCCTACCAACGAAAGCTTGTTATGAGGTTCTAGAAGCTACTATATAATGGAAAACTTACTCTCTGGCTTCTGTATTTGAACATTGCGAATTCATGTTGTTGACATATTTGATACGGCAACACTCTAATGCAGGTGCACGACTTCTGGTGTTATCATTTGGAACAGTTTGTCGCTCTGAATATAAGTTATAAACCATTTGCCGAGCGGAATGAGGAATCAGCAATAACGAATATAATTCATAATCTAAAGAGCAAATACAGTATGTGCGCTCAGTGAGAATGGCCAGATTGTTTAGACTTTAGACTTCAGAGGAAACCCACGCGCAATACTGGCAAGCTTGCAAATTGATTGTGTGCCAATCAGAACATTGCGTGTATTGGTATATCTTCGCTCATTGGCTCGTCTGTCGGTTAATGCTAAATTAACTTTTATTTGAATGACACTTCGCAAATTCGCCGTTGGTAATTTGAGAACTCTGACATGGCGGCTGAAACGGTAGAAACAGACCATGCATTATCATTATACATGAACAGTTTTTATATGCGGAGTAAAATGTGTTGATAACGTTTAGTATAATTTTATAGCACACGCTTACAGATTAAGTAAACATTCGACAATGTAACTTATTCTGAACGCAAGGTGCCAAGGAGGAGTTATCGAAGACTATGTTT